CTCCGATTTGCTGATGTAGCAACTCGGGCCTCTTGGATGAGGCGCTGGGTCACCGTGACTTCTCGCTGCCCCTGGGGTCACTGGAGTGCGTGCTGACAGCCCCAAGGGCTGTGTGGGCTTCCACGGGGGTTCCACGTGCAGCCCGCAGCGTGGCCCCAAGATAGTCTGCCATCCCGTCCTTGCCACCCTGACCCCCGGCACCGCTGGGCCTCCCTGCAGACGCGTGTCCTTCCAGACTTCTGTCTCCGGGGGTGGTGTCACCCTGGCTGGGTATTTGCTCTGGCAGCTGCTCGCCCTCCACAGCAGCCAGACGGGAGTCTCCCACATTCCTCAGCGGCCAGCTCACACGCGCTGCAGGGTGAACAAGGTTTCCATCACCCGCAGCCGGCAACGCGTCAACACCATCACCGGGTCCAGCCGTGTCTCAACATCGCACACACGGGCGCTCTGGCTGTGACCGTCCTGCTGCTGAGAGGAGCTGCCTCCGTGCTCGCCTGCCACCCAGGTCGCTCGGCGTCTCTCGTGTCTGACGGCGCCCGTCTCCGTGGCCTGGATGCAGCAGGACTCGGCCTCCGTCCTCTGCTCGCACACGTGTGCATTGTCTTAGAGTTGAGGTTGGGGTTCTTCCTGTCCCATCCTAATCCCTTCCTGAATCTGCTTTTTTTCCCCCTGATTTTGTCAATAATGAAAGGATGTAAACTGGTAGTGCTCAGAGGGGTCCCAGAAGTCACCTGCTTTCCCCCTTTTGTTCACAGGACACTGGCACGGAGGCCAGGCTGCCTCGGTTCTGCTCCCGGCTCCCCCGCTTGCTTTGGCCACGTTTCTCCGTGGTTTTGCCTCAGTTTCCTCATCTGCAAAGTGGGAGTAAAGACATCGCCTGCGCACAGGCCTGCGGTGCAGATGGGAAGTCCGCGCGCCGCCTGCACAGGTGAGGCCTCCACATGGTGGTGATGGGAGATGGCACCGAGCTGGTGGCTGCCGTGAGCCCGGAGACACAGTCAGAATGACAGAGCGGCTCTGCGATAGCGCCGTGTGCCTCCCTCCTCGCTTCGGCTGGAAGCCATTACGGGATCACATGTTGCTTCCAGCTGCGGACTGCTCTCAGGTCCCCCATGGCAAGGGCTTCCTGAGGAGGAATCCCGCAGCCGCCCCTCTCGTGGCTCTGCCGCTCCCACCGGCACTTCCCGTGCCTGCCTCTCCCAGCAGATGGGCTCTGTACTTATAATAATGCGCCTCGCTTCCCAGCATCAGCGCTGAGCGCACCCTCCACCCTCGCGGGACTGGGCTGGGCTTAAAAGCAGAGGAGTCCCGGCCCACCAGCCGCCCGGAGAGAGGCAGCGTCTGTCTCCCTGTGGTGACTCGAGGACCCAGGGCACCTTCGATGCGGATCCGTTGGCCTGCAGGACGAAGGGCCACCGCCTGGCACAGGCAGGTGGGTGCCAAGCACGCGGCTGATGACTCGAACCCGTGCACATTGGGCCTCTTTTTCTGTGTTATGGGTCTTCTGCTCATTCAGTGAAATGCAGGTCACACCCCAACCCCTGAAGGATTCGTGGGAGAGACTGGTTGGTGGTAGACCGGGCACCTCATCTTTGGGCCGCTAGTACTTTAAATGCTGGGGTGGAGTCGGGACCACGGGGTAGAGGTCAGGGCTGGGAAATATATGAATATGATGCATTTCTCTGTCTGGACACAAGGCTGGAGACAGTGAGACCCAGGAGGCTCAGGGGAAGCCCTGTGTGTCCCGTGCCTGGTGTCAGGGCCGCCGAGGGCGGGAAGTCACCCCTTGATTTCGGAGGGAAGAGTCTAGGCTTTAGAGTAGGACAGTCGTGGTTTGAATCCCAGCTCTGCCACTCACAAGCTAGATGACCTCTGGGCTGGTCACCCATGAGGTCGCTGAGCCTGTTCCGTGCCTGTAGCGAGGAGTGGACACCCCCTCCTCAGGGGTTCCAGCCGGGCGAGCCCTGATTTGTGTCGTGTGATTAGCATTTCGTAGCCTCGTGGTTGCGTTGGCGCCGGCCTTGCCGCCGCCGCCGTCAGAGAGGCCGTGTGTGCAGGTAGCCGCCCCGAGTGCGTTTCTGTGCCGGTGACATCAGTGACCAGCGCCCAGGGCGCAGGGATAGAGTGGACGGAGGGAGGGAGGGGCGGCTGGAGGGAACCACAGCCCTTCTGTTCTGCTGCTGTGGTCGCCTGAGACCGGGTGGGAGCGGCACGGTCACCTGCCGCTTCCTCCCTGTCCTGTCCCCGCCACAGCTGGCGGCATCGCTGGGCCCAGTCCTCCTCCTCGCGTGGCCCCTGCTGGGATTGCACCTGGGAGGACGGTCACTGTCCTCGGGCGCCGTGGGCTCGGAGGGTCCCTGTCCCGCCGGCCGCTCCTGGCCCAGACCCGGCTCCCCGGAGGCTGCACAGCCAGGAGGCCCCGCGGAGGGAATAGCGTGTTCTAGGAAAGGCCTCTCCCTGAAGAGCAGTTACTCAGAGTCCGTGCTGCAAGTGGGGTGTCTCGGGGATGACTGTTGGAAGTGGGGTGTCTCAGGGATGACTGTTGGAAGTGGGGGTGTCTCAGCGATGACTGTGTTAGAAGTGGGGGTGTCTCGGGGATGACTGCTGGAAGTGGGGGTATCTCGGGGGTGACTGCTGGAAGTGGGGGTGTCTCGGGGATGACTGTTGGAAGTGGGGGTGTCTCGGGATGACTGTGGTGGAAGTGGGGGTGTCTCGGGATGACTGTGTTGGAAGTGGGGGTGTCTCGGGATGACTGTGGTGGAAGTGGGGGTGTCTCAGGGATGACTGGTGGAAGTGGGGTGTCTCGGGGATGACTGTGCTGGAAGTGGGGGTGTCTCGGGATGACTGTGGTGGAAGTGGGCCATGTGTCGGCGATGACTGGGGAGGGGAGTGTGGGTGGGGGCACCGCCCACTCTCGTGAATTCCCCTCGCGTGCTGCCCCGGAGCGGCTCGGACTGGGGGCTGAGTCACCTCTGCACGTGGAGACAGATGTGCTTAGACAAAGGGCCTCTGTCTGCCGTAGAGACGGCTCCCGGCCCCCGGCCCTCAGGCCCCTCCTGCTGCTAAATTAGGGGCCAGAGAAGGCCTCGCCGACCAGGGGGTCAGGAGACTTGGTTTGGAGGCGCCGGCATCAAGGCTGGGGGTCTGAGGGTTTAATGCAGCCGTTCCTCTCGCTGCTCTGCCGCTCCCAGCAGATGGGCTCTGTACTCACAACCATGTGCAGAGCTCGCAGGCTCAGCCCACAGAT